TGAAACCCAGTCTCAGGAGCTCCTCAAGCTGACGCCTGTCTCTTATACACATCTAGATGTGTATAAGAGACAGGTGTGTGTGTGTGTGTGTGTGTGTGTGTGTGCCAGACTTGCCACGTTGATCGGTTGGATGATCGAGAGAGAGACAGCGTGGAAAACATGGAAGGAAGTCGAAAATCGACGGAAAGGAATCTGAAATGTAGGTGGGTTTACTCACCTTCATTCATGGTGGCGGAGCCGTCTGAAAGCCTCCCATGCGATGTACAACCCGAGCCTCAGCTTCCAACCTTCACGGTGCAGAGCCCAACCAGCGTCCACCCTTCAAGATGCACACAACCCAACCCAACCCAACCTCCAGAAAGTAAAAGAGCTTACCGACGACAAATCCTCTCGAGCTTCACCCCCACATGTACTGTATGCGTGCCGACGCGTGGGTGTGTGCGTAGGTGTGTGCTCAGGTGTGTGTGTTCCCGGTGGATGTGTTTGCATGTGTGTGTATGTGTGTGTCTGTCACAGCACACAGTAGAGCACAGTCCGCCATTGCTTTCCCTTTTTTTTTTCTTTTTTTTTTTTTTTTTTTCAAATCATCATTTCAAGTCTGCCATAGCTTCTGCCTGAGTGTGTCATTGTCGGTGTGTCTCCACCGCAAATGGAGTAGCACAAAAAGAGCGAACCGTAGCCTAAAGCACAGGAGCAGAATCCCAGCCAAGCGGTCAAGAGCTTAGAGTAGTAGAGTACGGAAAATCGACCTTCTTGCGTGGCTCGTGGGGGGCGGGAGCAATTGCGAAGTACAAGGGGGAAAAAGACACATGCAATCCATCTCGCCGCCACGCTACGCTAGTGGAGTTTTCATGTGGGCGGTCTTTTTCGTCGTTGTTTTGTGTTTTTTTTAATTTTTCTGGGAGAAACATAGGGCTTTTCATTCCAAATGAGACCACCGGGGCCCGGGGCTAGGTCCCACTTGCACGAATTAAGAGATACTGACCGTAGATAGCGAAGATCAACGGCCGAAATCTCCTAATCCGTGCAAGTGGGACCTTGCCCCCGGGAGCACACCCCTACATATCAACCCCGTCGCCAGTGCGCTCGCCCAAGATTCTCCAATCGCAACGATCGGGGTACCGCCCTAAGAACTGGCGCCGTGCCGCGTGGTGCTGTAGCGGCCCTAAAATAGGCCACGCGCTATACATCCTCAAAAGAATGAGTGCATTTTCCCACCGGGTGTGGCCGGATGCGTCCATTACTATGAATAGTAACGGATGCACCTTACCACTTTCTGGAGAAGATGGATCTCCGTGTGCTTGACGCCCACATCCGAGAAAAGTACTCTTTTTATTTACTTTTTTTTTTGGGGAAAAAAAAAGTACATATTCCAGCACCTTACCTCATCATAGGATATGAGCTTTTTTTTTTTTTTTTTTTTTTTTT